TTTAAAAAAAAAAAAAAGAATAAAAGGACCGCGCCTGCTCCCAGCACCTGGTACATGAGCACTGTTTAATACAGGTTTCATTAGTTCACCCACAGCTGTTTACCACACCAGGCACTATGCAAAGCATCAGGACACAGTGAGAAAACACAGAGCTGGCCCCCACCCTCATGAACCTTAAAGTCAAGCGAGGAATAGAGACATCAATCAAAACCATGAAAATAATCATAAAACCTCAAAGTGGCAGTGGACTATCACAGTTCCGGAAGAACCGATAACTGGGTACGACTAGCTCACTGTACTGGCGAAAGGCTCTCTGGGGGAAAGGGCTTTGGAACTAAGACTTGGAGAATGAACAAACATCAAGTAAGGGAGAGGTAAAGGGCCAAGTTCAGCACAAAGGCCCTGAGGTGGGAGAGGCCTGCAGGGTGGTCCAGAGGAAGAGGACGAGATGAGGCAGAAAGGTCAGCTATGGGCCAGAGCTGCAGGCCACTGGAGGCGTGAAGTGGCCTAAACAGCCACCAAAGACCCATGTAAGGGTTTTGAACAGAGGACGACAGGTTTGAATGTGCGTTTTTAAAGGCTCCATCTGGCTGCTGAGAAGGGAGCCAGCGGGCGGAGAAGAACAAGGACAGAGGAAGGTCACCAAAGAGGAGCGGGAAGCAGGTCGCCGCAGGGCCCAGAGAGATGGCCTGCAGAGGGCTGAGCGGTCCCCACGCAAAGCTGCCTCTGATCAAAGCAGGCTGTTTCTCGTCTCTTTGCAGTTCCCATTAAGGCACCACAGGGCCCTGCCTCGTGAACTGTGACACGGAGCCTGCTTCCCCAATTCCTCACTCACTAGGCGCGCCTGCCAGCTGCCCCTTCTGTCCCGAGCCAGCCTAAGGGTCACAGAGCCCCATTCCCAGGGGCACCAGCTCTGGCTCCAGAATGGTTGGGATGGGAATGGTTTGGCTGTGTGAGAGCTTGGTGGTGGGGCACCAACCTTTTAGGCCAGGTCTGTCACCTGATGTGTCCTGCGAAACTATACTGACCACAGGCCAGGGGCGGGGGAGGGGGGCCTTGGGGACAAGGACAGAGGATCCCATTTCAAAGCTCCGACCCGGAGTGGACTGCCAGAAACTCACTGTCCAGCCAGCTGCCCAGCTGGAAGACGTCAAAAAGGGAGAAAGCCAAGTGCCTGCTCTCCCACCCGAGTTGGCAATGAAAGGAACCAGCTGGGGACAGGGATGGAGTATAAGCCTCACATGGCTGAGACTGACCCCCATCTCAAGCTCGCCGCGTCGGAGGGAATCCCTCGTCCTCAGCATGAAGGCTCTGCTCAGGAGACACCAAGCTTTCCAATGGGCTCATGCAAGCCAAGGAAAGAAGCCTTGGTCCAAAACTCAAAAATCTGAAGGCCTAGATGGGTCTAAGACAGGAACCAGCTAGATGACCTTGGTACCCCACATCTGTTCTTGGGGTCTCAGTTCCCTGTCTAATCATTTTGCTCACCTGGGATTAGATCAGCAAGCATGTGAGCTCTGATTTACAGCTGTCACTGACACCCATTCAAAACTACTGGAACCTCCCACCTTAGTTGATAATAAAGTACCTGCTTTCCAGGGAGAACTACACACAGTCAGGTCTGCGGAGCAATGAGCTCAGGGCCAGCACTCTGGAAGGGCACAAAAGAGGCCAGGGAGCCACAGCCACCCTCTGCCGGAACATGCTCGGTCCCAGGGTCCCTGGAGTTGTAAAGTCAAATGGGGTGATGAAGACCTCAAGTACCTCCCGGGCACATGCTGGTCTGAGTCAGACAAAGTGCTACTGCCTGCGGTGTCTGCTAGACGTGGGAATGACAGAGCATGGCAGCTGCCATTTATCAGGTAGCTGGTACCAGGCCTGCACTACTGCTTCCCACTGGGTCGTTTTTGAGTTTTTGCATGGCCCCGCGAGGCAGGCACTGTGATTCGACACCACATTACTAATGGGCCGCTCTGCAAAAAAAATCTGATCTGGGTTTTCCAGACTCTGCTCCCATACTGGCCTGGGAACCCAGCAGCAGTGGGACTGCAAAGGGAATCTCCAGGTCTCTGAAGTGTACAAGCCCTCCAGCACTGGCATGCCCGAGCAGAAAGAGCCTGAAAGTGCAGCCTGACCACCAGAGGGCGCCCGTTTGAGCAGAAAGTACCAGGCCTCTTAGGCTACAGAAGAGGCCCTAGGATGGTGGGGACCCCACCATGGGACTCTGCATGCCTGGCCTCTGCAGAGCCAAAAATTGGGGCTGGGCAGGATCCAAGCCCTGTGGCACAATGTGCCAAAGGCCCCATCCACTGCCGGGTCTGCAAAAAGTCAAGTTTTGTGTGCTGGATGTGATCTTTGATAGAAATTCTCCTAAATAAAGAGTATTTGAGGCTCCTGGACACATCATGCTGTGGCTGAATCAAAGTCACCCAGAGCCAGACTGACTGGGCTTAGTTCGAGATCTGTACTAACTAGAGGGGTAAGCCGGGCAAGTCCCTAACCTCTGCCTCAGCCTCCTTCTCTCTTAAATCTGCATGAAACTCACCTCCCCTGGAGGACAGGACTGTAAAAGGAGCTGCGGCGCAGCTGGTGGTGCTGGGAAAGGGGGCACCCAAGAAATGTCCGCCACAGTGACGCTTCTCGGGGCGTGGCTCTGACTCAACGTAATGAGGCTCATGGCAGGAAAGGGAGCAGAGAAAACAGAGACAGAGGACAGCCTGATCTCCAACACTGTGGCCATAAACCAGGTCTGCACATCCCAGAGGCTGCTCTGTGGAGGAAAGATGGCTACAAACAGCCCAGCAGCAGGACTTGTCAGGGCCGGCCTTGCGTTTCTGGGCCCACACAACCTTTGCAGTGGCAGAGCAAGCTGCTACACCTACGTGTGAAAGAGCATGCTGAAGGAAACCCTTCGCTTGATGAGTTCCTCTTTGAACCGTGCCCAGGGCCTGGCACACAGGAGTGCCCACAAGCAATGGGGACCAGTCACGGCCACTTCTGCCACATTTGCCCCTCTCTGCACCGGTGCTGAGCAAGAACCTGCTTCATGAGCTGTGACACAGTGTCCCTCGGAGAGCCACACGCTCTGCCCCGCCCCCACACTAACAGCCCTGGCCATCCTATCCAAAACAGTATCAAGGCCACAACCCCTCTCCCTGTGCCCTTCCCCTGTTTTATCTCTCGTAGTCATCACCATCTGCCATGTCATACGTTTACTTATCCACTGTCACCTGCCCCACCCTGCTGCCCAGCGTGGTGGCTCCACAACAGCAGCGACCTGCACGTCTGTCCCGGTGCCCAGTAGAGGACCTGGAGCAGAGTGGGTGGGTGCTAGTGAACACCTCCTAAATAAAGAAATGAACTCCCTCCAGGGACCCCCAAAGACCTGGCCATGTCTGCACCCCTCTTGTGGGCAGTTCACTGAGGACCGCTGGACGCTCAGCCCAGCCAGGCCAACCGCCCTCCCCAGCAGGCTCGCCGTGCCACTTCAGCAAGATCCCCGCAGCCGTTCCGGGGACACCACAGCTCGCCTCTCCCCACCGAAGCCCTCCTCCTCTCTCAGTGCAAAATGGCCTGACTGACAGGTGCACACACCCCCACCCCAGCCGAGGGGACAGGGCGCCAGGCCCAGAGCTCCAGCGCTCTAGTTCTGAGCTCAAATCCCGCTCTCCCCTCCCTGGCTACACAGCTTCACATACCAACTTAACCCTGTGAGCCTTGGTCTTCTCTTCAAAGTGGGGACACACTCCACCCTTAGAGGCACTGTTCTGACAGGCTTCTGGGGACCTAGCACATGTGTGCCAGACCCCAATTCCTTAGCCATGCTCCTGACAAAGTTAATACTAAGCGCTCAGGAGGCGCCAACACCATGGTGGCAAGCTCTTCACATCCACCCCTCGTCTGACCTCACAACTAGCCCAAGTGGGAAGCACTACCCTCGCACCCACTTTCCAGGTGAGAAAAGTCAGACAATCAACCAGCAGGATGGAGAAAGGTGGAGAGGCAGCCAGAGCGCTGAGCTGCGTGGGGCCCGGCCCCTGCCTACCTTGAAGAAGCCGATGATGCCCACGCCGTAGGCCACACAGTACTTGTCCAGCAGCTCCCGGTTCCAGGAGTCCAGGTTGACGTACTTGAGGATGTTCTCATAGATGACAAGGGCGAAGCGGCCACGGCCCTTGTCGGTGAGCGTGGGCATGTCACCTTTGCCCGGGGCAATCTCAGTGCGGTACTTGAAGCGACTGGACTCCAGGATGGCCACCACCTCCTGGCCCAGCTGCGAGTACAGGCTCTCCACAAACACCAGCACCAGCGGGTCCGTGCGGGAAGGGGCAGCCGCCTGCATGGGCTTGAGTGGCAGCAGGCGGCTGGGGGCCACAGGTGGCGGGTCCCCGCTGTCAGGCTCGGCAGCTTCCGCCGAGGGCTCCAGGCCCCGCTTCCAGCCATACAGGTAGTAGGCCGAGACAAAGACACTGAACAGGCAGAAGATGAACAGCAGGAACAGGACAGCCTGCGGGGACACGTGCCGACATAGCCTGCGGAGACGCGCCAGGGAGGGCATCCTGGCCCCCGAGACCTGGGCCACCGGAGGCTCGGCCTGCCCTGGCCACCCCAAGGCCCAACACAAGAGGAAACCCAAGAGTTGTCTACTGACCAACAAATTCACAGAGACTTAGCAAGCAAGGTCCTCAGTGGGCAGTGGGAGTGGAGGATCCGGGCCCCTGGCCCTTCCTCCCAGCCAGGGGCGCAGTCCACAGGCTGGTTGCGCTCCTTCCTTCCCCTGTGCCCCTTTATGTCACCATGGCAAACCCCCACGTAGTCCTGTGCACAACAGAAGTGCCCCAGGGCGTCAGGGCCTCCTGGGGGGGCAGAGCAGCAGACAGAAGAGTACTGGGCAGGCTGCAGGGTGCCACATGCTGCTCACTCCGCGGGGCCTCGGGCCAAGGCTGTAGAAAGGAGAGAAGAGTGAGAAATGAAGACTCAGAGTGTGGGCTCTCTGGGTACCCTGACTAGCTGGGCCCACATCAAACACACTTTCCCAGCTGGGGTTTGAAACAACTCTCTGAGCCTCAGCTTGCCCATTTGTGAAAAGAGGGTGACAATAGCACCACCTCCCCGTAAGCTGAGGCAGTAAGTCCAAAAATGTGTGTACGTCACTCAGCACAGTTCCTACATGGTGTCTACCATGGCAGTTGCTATTTGTTATCAGAGTCCAATATTCAACCAAGAAAACTCCAGGAAAAGGACAATAAACATTTGCGAGACTTGGGAGCTAAAAATGGGATTCTAGATTAGAACCTCATCATCTTCCCTACGCACTGCCCTCTCTGGTGGAGCCCAGCAGCCCCATCCAGCAGGTGAGAAACCAACACTCGGGCAGTCGAGGCTCAGCCCAGGGCTGTCAGAGATCAGTACCTTAGCTGTGCCAGAGGCCCCCCTCAAGCAGTGGCGACTTCCTGTGTGAAACCACAGGCTTCGGGCCAAGGGTTAACTGAGTAAATGTGTCTGAGGAAGCCACACTCGAGAAATGGCTGTCACCAGTGCAAAGGGCATCCCCCACTCCTGTACACCTGCCCTCAGGTGCACACGCTGCCCCACACAGCTGAGGACCAAGCCCCCACCCTGATGATCAGGAGACCACTAGGCAACTAGGGAAGAGAGAGACATCTCCCCACTGTCCACCCAGGCAGCCAGAACTCAGATTCCCACATCCCCCACCCCCCAGTCTGACCTGCCCAGGGCATGCCCTTGCATCAATCTAGTGGGGGAGCCCCCTATCACCACACACACTACGCAAAGGCCCCCAATTTCCTCACCCCAAACAACATCCTCACCATGGACCTCCAGTGTCCCTTAGACCTGAGAGGAAGCACGGCTGACTGCTAGGAGAGACAAGGGCAGAGGCTGCTGGCACAGCCAGTGGGCATGTAAATCTCGGAGCTGGACTTGGGGGTGAAGAGCTTCCAGATCCCTTACAGGGACAGCCCAAGACCGCCTGGTCTCGCCTGCAGCAGGCACAGCACAGTGGAGGACAGCCACAGTGCTGCGAGGGCCTCTCCTCCAGGCAGTGACTGCAGAAACCTGTGAAGATTTCCCTGAGGACAGGAGCCAATGCTGTTTTCGACAGTGAGTGCCCAGTGACGGGGGCTCATCTTCAGCAATTAGAACTCAAGCTTGAGAGGAGACCCCAAGCAGCCATTTATGGTATGTCGAAGACAAACCTGACTGACGCAGGAATATAATGACCATTCAAGTGGAAATATTTATAAAACAGTCTGGATGATGACCAGAAACTGGTACTAAATCCAAAAACTCCCTTATCTTTGAGTGATTTTTATTTTCCCCTTTTTGTTTCCTAAATTTTCCACAATAATCACTAGTTATTTTTGTGAAAATATGAAAAAAGGACATTTAAAAGATGTATGCAGAAGTTAGGGGCAGGCGCCCTCCCTGGTGGCGCAACGGATTAGAACGCAGCACTGCAGGCTGGCCGCAGCCGCTTCGGTGTGAGTTCGATCCCCGCCCCTGAGGTGACCCACATGGCGCAGCAGACCTCTCCTGACCTGCCCGCTGCTCCCCTCAGCAGTGTACTTCGTTGATCTGCCTGTCCTGCTTTCTACTCTGTCTCTGGTGAAGCCTCTCACTGCCCCTATGCCTCTGGCTGGTACCCCAGTTCTGTATGAATAGATAAATCTTTTTAAAAAATAAACACTTATGTAAAACCCCTTTTAAAAAAAAGTTAGTGGCAGGACTGTGAAACAAGGAGGCATATGGGATACCAAGTGTGCCCTTAGCTCTTCATGATAGGCTGTGTGATCCCGAGCACACCCTGTGCCTCTCTGGTCTCCTGCCAGACCATCTCTGGGGGTTCTCCTACCTCTGAAATTCTACAGTCCAGTCTGAATATGTGGCAAGACCACGGGGAGCCCGAGGCAGCCAAGAAAACAGGCAGCTACAATGCAGGAAGTAGCAGCCAGATGGGGGTATGGATGGAAGAGCGGGCGAAGGGAGCAGGTTTGACACAACTGAGGCGGTTAGGGGACCTGGGGAAAGCTTCATGGAGGAAGCAGAGCTCTTGAGGTAAGGGTTGATGAGGTGGGGGTGAGGAGGAGGGTGGGGCACAGTTTGGAGATGAGGGAGGGTGCAGGGCTTTCCCAGGCGCCCTGCAATTCCATGAGAGCAGGACAAAATGGGGCCAGGTTTCTGGCAGAGGCCAAGGGACTGTCCTGTTTACATGTCCCATTCCCCACTGATAAGGGCAGCCCTTCTGCCCTTGAGCACCGGAGTTCCGCCCTCTTGGTCAGGGCAAGAGCACCAGGTAGCGTAGGAGGTAGAGCTGCCCAGACCGTGCCCAGCCTCCTGCCAGTCACCAAGGCTTGGGGGTGCACACCACTTCCTCATCCCCCCACAACCTTGTCCGCTGCAGCTTTCCACATGTGTGTCAATGCAGCCAGGCAGCCAGGAGTCATGGACACTTGTGACACTCTAGGCATATTTTCCATAAAAAATATGCACATACACTGAAAGTGGAGCAATCCAGGGAGTTCAGCCATCTTTCCCCACATCCACTGGTGAAGAGTCTAATGGGCACAGGGACACCCTGGAGCCAGGTGACTTCGTTCAAACTCATTGCACACCCAACGGCCGTGTGATACCAGACAAGTTACCACAGCCTGGTAGTAGCTCACCTGGGAAACAGGAAAACTGGACATCTCAAAGCTGTGAAAGTTAAATGAGCTGATGTTTATCAAGTGCATGTACCACGTCAGCACACAGCACAGAACCCATGTCAGGAGCTACTGTCATGACCCCTGTTTATTTAACGTCCTCACAGAGTGGAGAACAACGGAGCCCAAAGAGAGTCAAACTCCATCCTCCCTCACAATTTCTCAAGTCCCTAAGAATTCTCAGAATCCAGAATCCCCACTTGTAGAAAGAATCCCCACTTCAGGGTGTGGGCTAGATGGGTAGTTCTGGCTGGTGACAGGGGAGGCAGTTAGGGAGAAGGCCACAGCAGAGCTCACAAGGGGGTAAAGGGGAGGGAGAAAGAGTAAACTAACTCTCCAGAGAATGTGCAGTGCCCTGGGGTAGGAGTCTGAGGATAAAGCAGACCCCAGCAGGGTCCCCATGGCAGCCCCCCCAAAACCTGGTACCAGTTGTTCAAGGCTGTCTACACCAACTGGGAGGCTTCTAGGCCTTCCGGAGTCATTAAGGTCTCCAGATCTGCTGGGGGGCTGAGGTCTCAGTGTGCGCCCCTCACCCTGGGTCTGTTAGTCTTTGCGGATTTCCCAGCTGAACACCAGCCTCAACAACCAATCGCCACGTCACCAATCTTGGCCACCAACTAAGCCTTAGCTAATGAAACCCCCTTTGTCTGAACTGACCCCTACCCTGGGGACACTCACTCATCATTCCAGACCCCAGCTTTCTGCAGTCATCTTCAGCTACCACCCTCTGGCCGAAGCAGGAAGCAGACATGTGTTCCTTAGCTTGCAGAGCATTTTTCTTTAATCGGAGACTAGTTATCAACATTTTAAAACAGGACCTTTCACACAGAAGAGAGAACTTCTAACTTCTCTTTAGAAAGAGCACTTGTGGGATACAGGTCACACATCCCCACCAGTCACCAGCACTAAGGCACTTACAAGGGCCCAGAGGCGGGCCACGCCAGTTCACAGTGTCCCTGGGCAGCTCACTGCCTTCACTTGACCTCCTGCTGGGCAGGTCCTCGGTGCTCCTGAGCACATGGGTCCTGGCAGGCCTCTGCATGGCTGGCAGCCTGCAGCCTCCCCAGTCAGGACCAGGACTGACTGTGCTGTCAGGCGCCTGGCACAGAGGCCCTCCTCAGTGCCCCTTTCCATTCCTCCTGCTCATGGGAGCCCTGAAGGGCAGAGACAAGTCTGGCTCCTCAAAGAAACATCCTTCACTCTCCCCAGGCATGGGAACTCAGGACAGAAATGAAGAGCAGCTGTTAATTATTTCCGACTTACAGATGAGGAGACTGAGACCCCGCAGTGCAGTGACCTGCCACAGTAACACAGTAACACAGTAACCCGTTGATTTAAACGGGTTTCCTTCCTGACCAAATCTGGTCTTTGATTCTTCTATGGAACCCAAGCATTTCTGTAATAAAGATAACAACAATAACACCACTATAACTGGCATCATTGTTATTTTTTTTACCGCTACTGTGTATTCAGCATTTACCAAGAGCCTGATGATGCTATCAAGTAAGAAACCTTACTCATCTCACTTGTAGATATCTTACAACGTATCATTATTCACCTTTACAGTTGAGGAAATGAGACTCAGAGAAGTTAAGTCACTTGCCCAAAATCACACAGCTAGTCAGTGGCAAAGCTGAAGTTTGAGCCCAGGCTCCAAAGAGGGAGGTGCTCTAGAGCCTGCATGTGAGCCTCGTCCAGGGTGGGGAGAGCACGAGGGGGCTGCAGCCACAGAAACTTCAGCCTTCAGCCAGGCTCCCACTGCGCACTCCCAGCCCTAGGCCCAGCTTTCCCTGCCAAGGTGCTAGGGATAATGAATGAGATGCTCTGGTTGTCATGGAGATGCCATGGCAACGCTGCACTTTCGGGAAATACCACAGTAACTGTGGCCACCACTCTGGAGCTGAAAGTCACTCCCTACCCCACCTCCAACTCCAACATGCTCTGGGTGCTCCCCCACAATCTGCTCTAGAGGAGGTTACAGGGTGATCAGGCTGCCTAGAGGGGAGAACCAGGGAGGGCCGGGTTGCATCCTGCATGGACAGCTGGCTCAAGGAGCGAGCCCCGAGGCCTGGAGATGGCGCTGTGTCTCTGAGCCTTTCACAGTGCAGTGCACCCTATAACCCAGCCAGCGTACACTAGGTGCCTAGGATGCGACGCGCAGCAGCTGGCCTCTGGCACTGTGCCACTTCACCATGGCATTTCCAGGCTCAGACTGGACC